TTGTGTTTCAGTGCAGTAAAATTTCTTTTCAGAAAATTTAATAAATAATAAATTGCAACTACCATCTTTTTTTTTAAGTAAGGGTGTTAAAGGCTAAGTTCACCCTTAGAACATTTTACACCTGTATTTAGGGTGTAACATGTTCCAGCACAGCATACCCCCTGACCCCTCTGTGACAGCTGGCAAGGTTTCACCTCCCCTGCAGCGGCTGTCACATTTGAAATTGGCACAGCTGTGTGGTGCAGAAGAAACTACAAGTTCCAATGACGGACCGTTTTTAGCTCTCAATGAAGAGCACTGATCAGCACACACGTAGTCCATTCAGTCTTCCTCCATCTTTCTCACTGAAAGCCCATACAGAGGTAGGGAAAGCTGGAGGGAGAATGTGCAGAGGAGCCTGACATTGTACCTGTGATCCACTGATTGCGAGTGGAATGCTTTGCAGGCTCCTGTCGAAAAAAAATAACTGCACAATTTTTTCCTGAAAAAATATGTGCATTTATTATTTTTTTCCTAAAAGGTGATCCTTTAATTTAATAGCCAAAAATGCTGATTTTAACGTGTGTGCAAAATGAAACAAAATGGCTGTAGAGGAAAAGTGGTTAAATAGATAATAACAACACTAGTGTTTTCATTATATTTAAATATGACAATCTCTTTGAAGTTAACTGATTAATTGTCCATATTTTCTTGGGATTTAGAAGAGTAGTTCTTCAAATCACATGCCAGTATCACATGAGAGCTGTGTGTATATTTTGATAGTTGAATATACAGTATCCATTGCAGTAGGAAGTCTGTATGATGTTTTTAATGCTTTACAAGCATACCAAAGTAGCAATTTATATTTAGTTAATGATAAGTCCTAAATATACAAACATTTGAGTTGCAAATACTGAATATTATGATTTCTGAAAGTACAGATTAACAGAGTTTCTAAGAAGTCCTCAAATGAGTGCTGTATTGTGGTAAACTCAAACGTAATCTTAATTGTGATAACATAGAGGAACCAATCCTCTCCATTGTTCTCCTGCAGCCGCTGAAAGCTGGCTTCTCCTTCTCTGCCTCCCACCAGCATTCAGTGGCTGCAAGAGGAAAATGTTCATTATGCTATTCAAAAGAAAAAATTTAAATTCTGAACCATTTCATTTCATTGTGGCCCAAGACCAGGTTACCAAACAACTTAATTGACCCCTGCTCTTCAAAAAGATTAGCACCCATGCCCTACACCACCAGTCAATGTCAACTATGGGGAGAAGAGTTGCAGTTATTTTGCGGTGACATTGAGGAAAGATAGGTCATTCAATGGCCATTTTCAACAACAGATTTTTTTTTGCAGCCTAAAAGAGCGTAACAGACAATCCAGGCTGTGTGCTTACCTCTGAATCCTGCAGATAACATTCTGCTAGAGGAACTTATGCTGGATGATTCCATCATGCTGCTAGAGTGCATTTCCATAAAGGATGCTTCTTTCACTGAAGACATACTGGCAAATTTGGATTCAGAAATACTACTGCTGCTGCTACTGCTGAAGGAGGCTTCTTGTCTAGAGGCGGACATTTGCATGGATTGCATAGAGAAGCTTTCAAGCAGACTGGCTTCACCCGCAGTTTTCAGCACAACTTGCTTGGGAGGCTCTTCAACAAGACCTTTGGTTAAGAATATAAACGCTATGTAAATGCAAGCTCAATATAGATCAGTCATCCTGTATAACTGGCATAGACAGCCTGAAACCTAAGTACATTTTAAAAATAATAGATCATTCTCCCTTGATTGTGGGACATATTTTTAAAGTAACTTTTGACTTTTAGTGGATCAGTCCATCCAAATATCATATTCTGTATTTCAGTAGATGCCAACCAAATGAATTACCATTCTGCTTCTTTACTCAGGGACTCAGCTTGCAAGATTTTAAAACTGGGTTTCCAGACCGGGTACCTTCTATAGCTATTCTCCCTCTTGGATTTTTAAGGTATTATTATTACATCGAGTTTATATAGCGCCAAAGGGTTTGCTCAGCGCTGTACAATAGAGGGAACAATACATGGCACAGTACAACAAAAACAGACAGCGTACGAGGGGTAAGAGGGCCCTACTCTTTCAAGCTTACAATCTAGGAGGAAGGGGGTAATGGTACAGTAGGAAGTGGCTGAGGGGAATGAAGTGGTGGGAAGAATGAGGGAGAATGGCAGTTAGGTGAGGGTGGGGTAGGCTTCCCTGAAGAGATGGGTTTTGAGGGAGCGCCTGAATGTGGGGAGGGAAGGCGACAGTCGGATGGATTGGGGCAGTGAGTTCCAGAGGATAGTGGAGGACCTGGAGAAGTCCTGCAGTCGTGCATGGGAGGAGGAGACCAGGGAGCAGGATAGAAGGAGGTCCTGTGAGGAGCGAAGGGTACGGGTAGGGTGGTACTTGGGGATCAGGTTGGTGAGATAGTCAGGGGCAGTGTTGTGAACGGCTTTGTAGGTCAGGATTAGAAGTTTAAATTTGATGCGTTGGGCAATCGGGAGCCAGTGGAGGGAGAGGCAGAGGGGGGTGGCAGAGGTGGAGCGGGGGTGGTGAGGTGGATGAGTCTGGCCGCTGAGTTCAGGATGGTCTGGAGCGGGGAGAGCCTGCACTTGGGTAGGCCAAGGTAGACTCCATAGTTGGTGATTCATCTCATCACTCTCCATCCATAATTAAATTATATGGTTGAGCTCCCATCTAATGGTTCATGGATATTTTCAGCACTAATATACAGTAACTCAGTAGAACTAAAGCTGGTAGTACTGGAGCAGAGTAACCACAGGCAACAATTATATGCGCATTTGAATTTTCACTGATCACCAGTGTAATGGGTTACTTTATCACTAACTACCATAGTAAGGTGGACATTTTCCACTGACCACCAAAGTAAAGGGGTGTTTCTTTAATGAACCAGTGTATGGGCCTGTTTTCATTTACAACAAATGTAAAAGGAAACTAGACTGCCTGCTCTGAACAGTGCATATCCTAGACCACAGGTGTCAAACTGTGGCCCTCCAGCTGTCAAGGAACTACAAGTCCCATCATGTCTCTGCCTTTGAGAGTCATGCTAATTGTAAGCTTTGCAATGCCTCATTGGATTTGTAGTTCTGCAACAGCCGGAGGGCCACAGCTTGACACCCCTACCCTAGGCAATCTTCTGACTGCTGCTCTTTGTATTAGCTGTGCTGAAAATACATACTCCTGAATGTTGTACTCTGAAGCTGTACTGCACATTACATACTCCTGACCAATTGACCAATTGGTGTTTTTTTGTTGTTTGTATGGCACCGTTGATGGATAGCTTAATATTCTCTTAAGTTTGCACTAAAATATTTTCAGTTAACTGGGGAAAGGTAATGCATACAGTATATTTTCAGTTTCCAAAGGTTCTATTATACTTACGAAGAACATTTAAAGAGACAGTAGCAGAACACTGTCCGTGGTAGTTCTTGGCTTTTATTGTATATTTGCCACTATCCTTCTCGGTTGCATTTTGAATTTCTAGAGTGTAAATATTTTTAGATCGAGACACTCTTATGTGAGATGAGACTGAAATCTACAAAAGACAAATAAAATACAATTTATTTTTTCAATCAAAACGGTAGTAAACTTTGTTTCTAAAAATTTGCTGACAGGCAGGATATTTATGACAGAAGATATCCTATTGGTCTCTTCTGTCATAAATGCTTCCCCTAGCCTGTCAGGCATCATGTACACTGAGCTGTGCATGCGCAGCTCAGCAAACAGGTATGGCCCCAATCTGTGCTGCTGTGATGTGACTCCAGTGCTCATGCACAGGAGTGACATCATAGTGGTCTGGCCATTCAAGCGCCCAAAGGCACCAAACCTGGATGGAAGACCAGGACCCGCTGGATTGATCACAGCAGAGCGCTGGAGGGCTCAATTTGAAAGGTATTTATGCCATAATGTGCTAATATGCTGTGAATGCTAGCACATTATGGTGTAACCCACCTGGGGGTGCCCAAAAAGAAGAAATGATAGCGGACTTAACTACCGATTAAAAGAAGACTGATAAAACTGACTTACCAGAATATTGTCTTTAAACCATTCAACTTCAGGAGATGGATTGCCAGTAATTTCGCATGTAATCATGACATTCTGACCTTCATTGGCATTTTGAGACTTTGGTTGGTAAACAAATGATGGTGCATTGGAAGCATCTTTACTTAATGTCAAGTCAAACTGGCATTTGATTATTCCTTGATCTGTTCTTCCCTCACAGGTCAGGATACCCTGATCTTTGCTGCTGACCTTTTTGATAGTTAGAGTTTGATCATTGCCAGATACTCCATATCTGTAGTCTTCAGAGTTTTTTAGTTCATATCCATTGAGCACCCATTTTACTTGAGATGCTCCCAACATACTAGCCTTCAGAGTGACTTTCTGGCCTTCACTAAAACTGACACTACTTTCTAAAGATTTAATCTCTGTATGAAGAGTTTTGGTTCCTTCAGTGACCAAGTCAGTCTTACTAATCTCCTCGAGAATTACGGATTTAGACCCCTGGAGAGATTTCTTGGACTCTCTTGCAATGGTGACTTGGGAGAAAACATTTTTGAATGTTTGTCCAACAAACTGCAGGCTGGTTTTTGAGACTCCTCCTTCTCCAGTTATTTCACAAATGTACTCACCCTGGTCACCTTCAGAGATACTGTGAATAGTGAGTTCATAGGTTCCATCAGAAGAGTAATGGAAACTGAAATGACCATCTTCCCTCAGCTTCTTACCATCCTTGTACCACAACACTTCTCTTCCATTGAGTATTGTACTCTCAACCACACATGCCAGCTTAGCTTTGTCATCACTAGCTACAGCCTTTAGGTTCTGAGCTATTTTGGGGGCTGAAACAGCTGGTAACTGTACCTTATCTGCTGGTGATTTGGTTACTGATTTGGTTTTTGGTGTTGTTGGCTCTGGGGACTTTACTCTTTTTGGTGACTTTATTGAATCATGAGATTTTTTGTGTGGTTCTGGAGATTTTACTCGGGGGGTGGTGATGTAACACCTTTCTCAGCTGCTTTTGATCGTTTAATTGTCAGTGTGAAGTGTGCTTCTTGCTTTCCTTCAGAGTTTTCCACGACTACTGTATAGTTGCCTTCATCAGACAACTTGACAGAGGTGATTTCAAAGGTAGAGCTGTACTTTGTTGATGTTATGTGGTGACGTGTAGAGGAAACGATAGCTTTTCCAGCAAGCTGCCATGTAACTGTTGGGGTTGGTTCACCATCAAAGTCACATGAAAACCTGACACTCTCACCTTCAGATACTGTCACAGACTGTGGTTTTGTGAGTATTTTGGCAGGCTCTGAACTCTTAAATTTCCTGTGCACAACTCTTTCTCCCAGTGCTTTTGCTTCAGATGCAGAAACCCTCTTTTCTTCAGATGCATAAGCCTCATATGATTCCGAAGATTCTCTTAATGAAGTTATTTGCGATTTAACTTCTCTTCTTGAAGAACTTGCCTCAAATTCAGATGTTTTCTTAAATGAAGCAAATGCATAATCTTCTGATTTCAGCAGCTCTGGGAAAGCAGACTTAGGCACAACATCATCTTTCCTTTTTGGTGTATAGGTAGAAAAATCATCTCCTGAAACATCTAGGGTGGCATAGTCAGAGGCCTCACCTTTATAGTTTGTACATACGGCACGGTATGTTCCACTGTCTTCTGAATGGCAGTCAATGATTTCCAGAGTCAAGACTCCGCTCACATTACTAATATGATATTTGTAGCTTTCCTGAATTTCAACACCATTATGATACCATTTAATATCACCTGTAGGCTTTGATTGCACATTGAGAATAAATCTTGTGTTCTGGCCAAAAGGGACACGATGAGAACGCATTCTCAAAGTTATACGGGGGGCATGGTCCAAGGTGAAGGGCTGTTGAGTTAAAACTTCATACTTTCTTTCTGAAGACTTTTGTGTTTTAAGAGCAGCTTTCATTGATTCATACCTTGACATAATATCAAATCTTGCAGTTCTTTCAAAACGTGAAAGTGATCTATCACTTGAAACAGGGCTGGGAGATCGAGGTCTTGTTCTCTCTGGTGTAGGAGATCTTCTCTCTGGCTCAGCTGGTTTAGAACGAGGTCTTATTAGTTCAGATACAGGGCGCATAAGCTCAATATAAGTTGGAGAGAGAGATCTTCTCCTTCCAAGTAATCTTGTTACTTCAGGAGATGCTTGGCGTACTTGTCTGCTGACTCTCCTGCTAACTTCTTCCTGAGCTTCTTCAACATCAGATATTTGTGTTATTTCTCTTTCTCTTCTTGATAGCAGTCTGCTTTTTTCTTCCTTCTCCATGTATTCAAGATCTCTTGTATACTGAGAAATCCTCCGGGTTGTGCTGTATGGACGAAGTAATTCTTCATCCTCCCTCTCTTCCATAATTCTTTGTTTTTGTTTGGGTGGCTTGTATATCGCTCTCTCATAACGCTCTCTAAGATCTGCATAGCTTGTTGTGATCTCCTCTTTAGTTGGGATATGGTAAGTGGAATACCTGGATTCTGCTTCAGTTCTCTTCTCTCTGCTAACATGAGTTTCTGGTGAGGTATAACGTAGGGTTGACAGCTCAAATCTTGGAGGACTACGACTTGGGGGAGAGGCAGAAAAGCCAAGTTCCAACTCTTCTTCTAGTCGTAATCTTTCCTCTTCAACCCTTTTCATAGCTAAATAGTCATCAACTGGGAGAAGTAATTCATCATCAGAGACATCCCCAAGAGAACGTCGGCGTGGCCGGTAATAAACTTCATAATCTGGTGATGGTGTACGACGACGAGCAGGCCTTACAATTTCCAGGTCATCCTGTGATACTTTTGGTATGCGCCATTTAGGTTTGTATTGATCAGAGATGCGTGGCAGTGGCATCACATAGAACTGCTCCCACCTTGAGAGACGAATACGCTTTGGACGTTTTTGAACAATGCGCTCAAGAGGTTCTGGCATTTCATACTGATCTCTCAATCTCTTGTACCATTTCATATCAGACATTGGTACAAACTTTTTAATAGACTGATCTTCTTCAAGTGCAGTTGCACCATGTACACGTGGTTCTGGAATTTCATATGGCATGCGGATTACTTTTACTTCTTTCTTCTTTTCCTCTTTTGTAATCTCATATTCACCTTTTACAGTTTTGGTGCTCACTGCTGGCCTGTACAAAATTGCAGCCTCCCTTAGGGCTTGCTGTGCAACTGGTGTCAGTGGGACAGAATCAGTTCCTGCAAGAATTTCTGCCATTCTCAGGGTTTTGTCAATCTGCCTCTGTACATGTACTTTACGTTCTTCTTCAGATTTGTACTCATGCTTGACATATCGCATGCGCTCAACCTTCAGGTATGCTTGGCAGCTTGTTGATCCTGCACTATTGGTAGCCGTTATTCTGTAGTAACCTGAGTCTTCTGGCAAAGTGTCTCTAATGAAGAGTGCATAATAATCAAGACCCTCATGAATAATTTCAATGTTGGGGCCTAGTGCCAGGGCCTGACCATCTTTCTCCCATTTCAGTGTTGGTTTTGGAGTTCCTGATACTCTAATTTCAAAGCGGACAGACTGACCTTCCTGGCATTCAGCATTTGCAAGCAAACGCTTAAACATTGGTCGTAAGGTATTGTCTGCTGCTGCTGGGTGAGGAATAACTGTGAGCTTAGCTTTGCAGCTGTCTTCACCATATCTGTTCTTTGCCACAACAGTATACTCTGTATCATCATCTGTTGTCAGGTTGTGAATGATAAGCTGGTACAAACCTTTGTCAGATTCAAAAGTGTATTTCTTTGTATCGTCACCAGGTTTGATTTTTTGACCTGACTTCAGCCATGTCACCTGTGGATCAGGATGGACTGTGATTGTGACACCAAATCTGATATTTTCACCAATATAAGCTGTGCGGTTGAACAAAGGCAATGTAAACTCTGGTGGTCTTTCCAAAAGTCTCATGGCATCAACTCTCCGTTTTACCTTCTTCACTGTCCTGCATCTGTAATAGTCAGATTGTTCTCTGACGCCTATTACAAACAATTCACCATAAGAACTGTCCTCACCGTAGTCATTGACTACTTTGCATCTATAGGTGCCATCATCTGATTTTCTGATGTCTTTGATATAGATTGTTGCAAGACCTTCATTGTATGTGATTTCATACTTGTCACTATTTTCTAATTGGCGGATGCCAAAGTACCAAGTAACTTGTGTAGACTGATCATAATTTTCAATCTTGCAAGAGAATTTGGCATATCCTCCTTCTTCTCCAACAGCATGTGTAATCTGTCCAGAAATTGGTCCTATTTCAATTGATGCAACCTTGACCTTGGCAACTGTCGTTCCCTTCTGGGATCTTATGGCACCACCGCAAGAAATACGAGCTACAGAGACTACAAAGTTCCATTCCTTCTTAATCAAGCTCTGGTAGTAACGCCTGTGTCTTAGTGTCTTAATCACTTTTGTGCTTTGCTTTTCTGTCTTCTGTTTAAGCCAGGAGTGCTCAAGGGCTTCTGCAGCTGTCATGCGACTCTTTCTTTCTTTTACCAGCAGTCTGTCAATGAAATCCAAAGCCTCCAAGCTGACTTCTTTAAAAGCTTCATCCTCAAAGTTGTATTCAGCATTGGTGATGTTCTCAATTATCTGCTGGTTTGTTTCAGCTGCAAATGGATTAAGACCACTCAGGAGTATATAGACAAGAGTACCAAGAGACCACATGTCAGTTGCTGTACTGACCAAATCATGTTGGTGAACTTCAGGTGCATAATATTCAGGAGTAGTAAACTGAATCCTGAAACTGTCTCCAGGAATTAACTGTCGGGCTTGACCAAACTCAGTAATTTTAATTCTTGAGCTGCGTCTTGTTGTATATATGATGTTTTCTGGTCTTATATCAAAGTGTCCAATGCTGTTCAAATGAAGGAATTCAAGAGCTTCACATATTTGACGTACATAAGATATTATCTCTCTTTCACAGAGGTCAAAGCCTGCTGCACCAATTCTTTCAAAAATGTCAACACCAGAGATAAATTCAAAGATCATAACCAGTTCCTCAAGGCTCTCAAATGATTCATACAGGTACAAAATATTTGTGTGTCGAGCAACATTGAGAACAGAAATTTCTTTCTTCACTGCAACCTGGTCAGCACCTTTAACCTTTACAAACTTGGCAAGGTATGTTTTCTTGGAAGAATTGTGAATGCAACGGTGAACAATTCCAAACTGCCCATGTCCAAGCTCTTCAGCAATGGAAAATCTTTCATGAAGCACTTTTGTGGAAGAGTGCTCTGCTTTGGTTTTAGAAATTTCAATTTCAGACACTTCATCATCATAATTCAACATTCTTGATTTATCTTCCTTAGTTACAACTGGATCTGTCGGTTCAGATGGTTTATCTGTCCAAACTTATTTTCAGCTATTATTCTGAATTGATATCTTGTTTTTCCAAATAAGTTAACAACAGTGTATCTGGTTTCACGAGATTGGCCAACACGAATCCATCTTTCTGCTGTTGTCGCACATTTTTCAATTATGTAGTTTATGATCTTACTGCCGCCATCAGTAGCTGGGGCAGTCCAAGTGAGGTTAACAGAATCTCTTGAAATATCGCTGACTTTTAGACCTCTTGGTGGATCAGGGACATCTGCAACATCCAGTTCTACTGTCTTTTGGTCAATGCCAAATCTGTTCTTTGCACAGACAACATAGAAGCCTGCATCTTTCCTATCAACTCCATTGGAGAACACAAGTGAAGTGAATGAACGTGTTACAATGACTTGATACTGTCCATTGTTGTCAATAAGATCCTGTCCTTTCTGCCATGTAATCACAGGGTCTGGTTTACCAGAGAATGGAATTTTAATACTGACAACTTCACCTCTGAGGGCATGTACAGCACCCATTCCTTCCAGATGTTTAGGCAGATGGATTTTAGCAGGAACTAATGGAAATAAAAACAACATCAAAACACTGGTTAGTTTGTCTGAATGAATGCATTGTTTCCATATATTTTAATTAAACAAATTGGTACACTATGCTTACCTTCCACATCCAAGGAAGCTGTAGCAGAAATAGACCCTCCTTGGTTAGTGGCTCTGACTTGGTAGACTGTGGAATCATCCTCAAAGACATTTGTAATGACAAGCTGATAGTATCCTCCTTTGAATTCTTGCAGTTTAACTTTCTCTCCATCTGGGAGGATCTCTTTACCTTGCTTGAACCATTTCACAACTGGCTTGGGATGACCAACAATCTTGCACACAAAGGTAGCAGTGCTTCTGTACTTCACATTAAGGTTTCTTAGTTCTTCCTTAAACTGAGGAGCACGGACAGGTACATCTGATTTAGGTACAATAGGATCAGAGGTCTCACTCCATTCACTTTCTCCTCCAAGGTTTTCACATTTGACACGGAACTCATATTCAAGATCTTCAATAAGACCTTTGACAGAATAAACTGTCTCATGAATTCCCTCTGTTGTTACAGAGATCCATTTGTTCTGCTTCTTCTCACGTTTCTCAAGGTAGTAATTTGTGATCTTGGCACCGCCATCACTGGCTGGTGGCTTCCATGACACAACACAGGAATCTTTTGTGACAGCTGTAACCACTGGTTTTGCTGGTTGTCCTGGTTTTTCTGTAAAAAAGAAAAAAATAATTTAGTGGCATTGTTAATTTTTTCCTGGCAATTAACTGAACATAGTAACTTTCATTTAAGACTGCTTACCAAATGGACTCTTGATCACAACTATAGATGGAATCTCCAGTGGGTCACTGACACCATACAAGTTCTGGGCTGATACACGGAAGTAATAGCCAGCATTTTCATTAAGGTTAACAATTCTGCAGGTGGTACCAGAAATAGCAGAAGACACGAGGTGCCAGTCTTCACCTTCCTTAGCTTCCCTGCGTTCAACAACATAGTTAGTCACCAATGATCCACCATCATCTTCTGGTGGTTTCCAGCTGATTACAACAGAATTCTTCAGCAAAGCATCAACAACAATTGGTCCTGTGGGCTTGTCTGGTTTATCTGTAGACATGAAAATAATACATTTGTGAGTAACATACAAGGCATTGACAAGTAGCTTTTTACAAGCAAAAATTCACAAATAACTTTTTAAAGCAAATATTTACCTTGTATTTCTACATTTAGTATGGTGTCAACAGTTCCGAATATGTTGCTCAGCTGCACCTTGTATTTGCCAGCATGGCTCTTGTGTTGCACATTCTTAATAACAAGGTGTGTATAATGTTCTGTATTCTCAATGGTGATATTTTCAGAAGATTTCAAAGGCTTCTTGCCATAGAACCAAGTAATGGCTGGTACTGGACGTCCAATGTATGCTACATGGAGGCGAAGAGTTGTACCTACACCAGCGTAGTACTTCTCCTTCAGAGGGAATCCAGGATGGAACTGAGGAACAGCTTCCAAAAGCAGTTTACCACTAGTCTCAATCTCTCCAGCATCGTTGACGGCCACACAAGTATACAAGCCTTCATCTTCCTGTTCATCTGTTAACACTGTAAGTGAGTGGTTACGTCCATCTGAAGACATTTTATATTTGCGGCTTTGCACCAGCTCTTTGCCAAAGCGGAACCATTTGATGTCAGGTAGTGGTCTTCCAATAATCTGGCAAGTTAGTTTGGCACTTTCACCCAATTTGGTAGTGACCTCTTTTATTTCTTGTCTTAGGCCTGGAGCTTCTCCAGCTGTATAAAGATAATTGCAAAATATTTAGGCTCACAGAATATATTAAACTTCATATTATTATTATATACTAGTAGTTTCTCACGCTCCTGCACATCCCGCTCCCATGCCACCTTTCTCACCCTTCTCGTCCTCATAACCACGGGGGACATCTCCCCGAATCCTGGCCCTGCACCACCTCCCTCACCCGCACAAAACCCTCCCGCCTCCACGTCCTGCCACAACCCCCGCAACTTAGTATCTGTCCCCCTGCTCCCTAAAATCTCCCCCCCGTTTTCATGTGCACTCCTGAACGCCCGATCGGTGTGCAAAAAGCTTACCGCCATCCACGACCTCTTTGTTTCCCACTCCCTCAACCTCCTGGCGATTACGGAAACCTGGATCCAGCCCACTGACTCTACCTCCCCTGCTGCACTCTCCTACGGAGGTCTCACCTGGACCCACTCACCCAGGCCCAACGGTCGTAAAGGTGGTGGGGTTGGCCTGCTTCTGTCACCGCTGAGCACCTTCCGAGTCCTCCCAAACCCCCCCTCCCTATCCTTCTCCTCCTTCGAGGACCACTGCGTCCGACTATTCTCCCCAACCCCCCTGAAGATTGCTGTGATATACCGGCCTCCTGGATCCATACCCCGCTTCCTGGAAGACTTCTCCTCCTGGCTACCCTTCTTCCTCTCCTCTGAGCTACCCACTATCATCCTTGGGGATTTCAACATCCCTGTCAACCTCGACAACCCGGACACAGCCCGTCTCCTCCACTTAACCTCCTCCTTTGCACTTGCACAGTGCATACAATCCACCACCCACTCCGACGGTAATATCCTTGATCTTGTTTTCTCCAACCGCTGCGCTCCCCACAACCTCACTAACACCCCCTTCCCTCTCTCTGACCACAACCTGATTACCTTCTCTATCTCCTCATCCTCCAACGCCTACCCCTCCAAATGTCACACTTCTACCAGCCGTAACCTCCGCAACCTTAACCCTGCCTCCCTCCACTCCGCAGCTGATCAACTCCATGACCGCATCCTCCCCCTGTCCTGCCCCGACTTGGCTATGACCGCCTACAACAATGCGCTGTCAACAGCCCTTGACTCACTAGCGCCTTTAACCACACGCAACATCAGACCCTGACCGCTCCAGCCCTGGCAGACTGATCACACCAAAACCCTCAAACGACACAGTCGTAGCCCTGGAGCGACTATGGCGCAAAACCAAATCCCAACAAGCCTTCACCCGATACAAATCTGCCTTCCACACCTACACCTCCTCCCTCCATACTGCCAAACAAGCCTACTTCCTGACCCTCATCAAGGCCCTCTCCTCCAATCCTCGCCGACTCTTCTCCACCTTCAACTCTCTACTCTCGCCACCCCCACCTCCACCCAGCACCTCACTCACTGCCCTTGAGATTGCCAATCACTTCAAAAACAAGATTGACACAATTCGCAAGGACATTGCCGCAACTCACACGCCTTCTCAACCCATCCCCTCTCACACAGCTACCCCCTCATCCCCCCTCCCCCTCGACATAACCCACAGGGACTTTGTCGCTGCTCAAACTCCCTCCAAACCCCCTTCCCCCTCACTCAGCTACCCCCTCTACACCCCTCTCCCACGGCCCCACCACTGCTCTGACCTCCTCTCCCACTCCACCCTACATTCCTCATACTGAAGCTCCCCCAACACTCCGCACCTTTGACCTTACTACCATCGAAGAAGTCTCCAAGATCCTCTCTGATGCCCGCCTCACCACCTTCCCCCTCAACCCTATCCCCTCACAACTCCTACAACCTCCCTCCCCCTCCATCCTACGCTCCCTCGCCCACATCTTCAATCTCTCCTCCGGCACTTTCCCTTCCCCTCTGAAACATGCACACATCACGCCCATACTTAAAAAACCCTCCCTGGACCCCAATGACCCGAACAACCTCAGACCCATCTCCCTGCTCCCATTTACATCTAAACTCCTCGAGCGCCTAGTCTACACCCGCCTATGCTCTCACCTCAACGACAACAACCTCCTCGATCCCCTACAGTCCGGCTTCCGTCCCCTACACTCCACCGAAACTGCCTTACTCAAACTCTCCAACGACCTGCTAACCGCCAAAGCTAATGGCCACTATTCAGTGCTCCTACTCCTTGACCTCTCTGCGGCCTTTGACACAGTCGACCCACCCCCTCCTCCTCAAAAACTACACTCCCTCGGCCTCAGAGATTCTGCTCTCTCCTGGCTCTCATCCTACCTGTCACAACGCTCTTTCAGTGTTACCTATAATGCTACCACCTCCCCCTCACTCCCCCTCTCTGTTGGGGTCCCTCAAGGCTTTGTCCTCGGGCCCCTTTTCTTCTCCATCTACACCTCCTCCCTCTCATACACTCTCACGGCTTCAACTACCACCTCTATGCCGACGACACACAAATCTATCTCTCAACCCCCCACCTCACCCCCTCGGTCTCCGCCCGAATCACACACCTGTTGAGCGACATATCAGACTGGATGTCGCTCCACTTCCTTAAACTGAACCTCTCCAAAACCGAGTTTCTTGTCTTCCCTCCAGCCCGGTCACCACCCCCCATTGACTTCTCCATCATGTCCAACAACGCCACCATCAAACCCGCCCCGCAGGCCAGAG